CGTGAATGGTGAATTTTTTTTGGAAATTTTCCAAGTGCCATTTGGTCAAAATGTGAAAAAAATTAAAAATCACGCCCCGAGGGCTAGTTCACGCTTATTATGAATTGCGGGGGGCTCCATAACTCCGTAATGGTACATGGCCGAGACCGGTGGCCGGCCTCGATAGTAATCAATTTCGCAAAATTCTTTTGTAGTGTCAATTTTGGGGTGCTTTGGACACTGATATTTTCAATGGAAATTTCGTTATTTCAATATATATATTTGTTTTCAGTGGTTATTTCCCATTGTCTCAACTTGTCTAAACACTCTAAATGTTTAAACGAACTTATCCATTGCGCTAAATCCCCAGGGGTTGAACCAATGACAATTAAAATCATTAGGGGGTTTTTTTTTTCATTCATACGTGTCGGTGACCGCAAAGAGACGTGAAAATTCCCTTATCGCAATATTCGGCGTTGTCTCAAAGGTGCCTGGCCACAGGCTGATTTTGTGGGTGTGCGCCTGCTCAGGAACGGCGGTGCCGGCTCTCTGCTAGAGATTCCAAAATCTGTTTGCTACCGACGCCCCACTGTAGCCAGTCGTCATCACGCACTCGTGATGTCAGTTTGGATTTCTCAATGCGGTGAAAACGCTCTGGGTGATCATTCATCAATTGTCCGTATCACATTCTGAGTAATTTTCCCTTTTGCATTCACCGTTTCGTTTTGTTCGGGAGGAAAATAAAGAAAAAACAGAGGGGTGATTTTTGTGGGAGTTGCGGTGGAGAAACTGTCACGTGGTTCACTTTGAGTCCTGATGCCCACCGGCATACCCCGACGAGGTGATATATTGTCTAGTATCAACAACCTATGAGCGTCACCTAAAGGTAAACGAGAAATTCTCACATTCTTGTTTTTGTTATGATTGGAATAGAAACTCCGCGGGATCGCGGTAAGATCAAAATTGAGAATTACGTGGATAAATCAGTTAATCAGAGGTAAATTTATTGGGAAATGGAGGGCATCAATGTGAGTGGTGCTTTCGGGAAAATAATGAAATTTCAGTGGGGGACATCGTCAATCAATGTATTACAAATTCTGATTGAATAACTCCGATGAAAAATCATTACCCTTAGGATTAACGCAGGCGATTACCTTCCCCTGACCACCCTCTCCCATACGTTGAGCTCCCCATGTACCGTCCGATAATATCATTTTTACAAAAAGATGTATCGCTATTTTTTTCTGAATAGAGCGGGAAAAAAAAAAAGAGTTCCTACTAGATAAAATAAGATTAATATCAAAATACATATTGGCTACACGTCAAGTATTTTCCCTTTCCCTCGAGCGTCAGAAAATAAAGTCTTTCTAGTCATTATGAAAATTTTTTTTATGGGGCATTATGAGTTTAGAGCGCTGGAATGAATATGACACACAGATTAAGTTCCTGCTGAGCATTTTGCGGCGTTGGGATTTGAATTTAGAATAGACCGGAGGGTTGTTATCAAAGAAGAAAGATATTTACCGATGGGCTTTTGAATGGGGCCGCAGATAAAACAAGAATTTGATATTCACTTGTGAAAAACTGAAGCCATTCTAAATTTGTGAACGGCAGAACTCTCAATTATATATATATATATATATATATATATTTGAAAAATTGTTATCAATTAAAATTCAAACATATTTGCGGTTTTAACTGTGTAATCCGTGAAATTCACCAATTTTCACGGAGTACCTTAAAAACTCGAGGGATTCTAAGAATTTTGTGGCAATTTTATGGAAATTTATGAGATTTTGTAATCGAACAATAGATTAAAAAAATTTTCAATTAATTGTCTTGACAGGCAAAACTTTATGCTTATTATAGCTAAATATCGAACAATAGTATTGAGCTAAATTAATAACACACCTCCATCATTTCAATACTGTATAAAATTGCATTGGAGAAAACGAGGAGAAGGGTCGTTATATCGATTCCCATGGGTATAAACCACGCTATTTGATGAATAACCCGGTGCCTCGATTTTCCACAACGATGATCACGCGCTCCTGTTGCTTTCAATATCGTCGGCTTCTGTGATGTTGCGTAATTCATGCAGGGGTATATCAATTCAAAGTATATTCCAGCTGTGTAATGTTGATAGTTTGAGAAGTCAGAGGGAATATTTTTCGACAATATTTGTCGAATTTCAGATTCGAGGATACTTGTTTTTGGTTGAGTTTGACAGGGATCAATAATTTTTATCAATATCAATTGAAATTTTTCACAATTGATGGAGAATATCAAATTAGTCAAGGAAATCAGTCGAAAAGGTGAAAATATCATAGTCAACGTACCCAAACCCGATACCCGTACCCGATGCAAATATCGAAATCTATCATCCACCCAAGCTAGTCGCTCCCCTTAACACCATAGAAAGTGATCCTAGAATCCAGACTGTCATCGTCCTCTCCCCATAATAGAAAACATTTGTCCGGTGTCCATTTTTCCCTTGCCTCACATGGATCCCAGTTTGCTGCGTCTAGAGCCCACTTGCACTCCTTCCAACTCAATCCCCTCCGCCTACCATCAGTCGTACCCGTACACATCTGCAAAATATTCTTTTATATATTATTTGTGGAGGGTGTGAGTTGACCCCCGAGAGGGGGCTTTGAGAGGGCAAATAGAGATGCGGAGGAAAAACATGAGAGGAACAGGGTGAATATATATTGTGTATGCCCTGGCGTTTGCCGCACCCTCACTCTCCACTGGACTGTCATGCGCCATAACTCCGTGTCCCTCCTGTCCCCCATTCATAGTATTGTCTGTGGCACTATGTGTTTTCCCTGTATTACGTCTGTGTCATATTCCTGTAACTCACCACAAGGCGATTACCTCTTGAATATGAAATATATTGTTGCCCCCCCCCCCTCCCCCCGCGCTCACCAAGGGACAATTCCTCCAGGAGGAAGAAATTGAAGAATGAAAATGGGTTTTGCACCCTAGGTCCTTTTTCTCCATTTCTCATTATTCTAGATTTGTGGGTTTCCGGTTGTTCTTTCCTGCCAAGGTGTTATGGTGAAGTAATTGAGACGTAGTGCAATATTGAGGTATTGATATGATTTCATTTGGTATTTCATCGTAACATACATTTCAGTATTCAAATATATTGCCACAATACCAAAAAAAATTATTCATATTCGGTTCGGCAATATTTTTCTCTATAATGTTTTTCAGTAATTGTGGAGTATTGGGTAATTCAGAAAGGGAGGGATGATAAATCAGAAAAATGAGTTTTCAGGCGAGAGGGAGATGATTTTTTGGGGGTGGGTTGGGAATGGGTTCGGGGATGAGGGATTTGGGGAGTTCGGTATTATCCTTCAAAGGTATTGCGGACAGGCAATCCTGATGGATGCCAATCAGCTGGAGTAATATTAAGGATCGGGTGAATAGATTTCTCTTGGCAATAAGTTACAATATCATGATAAGTATATAATATTAAAATATCGAAACATTGATATCAACGCAGGAAATACATAAAAAATATTCCAATGCTAAAGCTGATATTGCAACTCCATAAAATAGTGAAAAATATTCATTAAAACTCACAATTCAACTGAACTATTGCCCCCCATCTTTCACTTGTGTCAATAACTCTCCAGAATATCTCCAACACTCATATTCACTCGACGATATTCTTCATTCGCTGTTATTTTTCCCCCGAAACATCGCCCACCCTTTCCTTTCCCTGGTGACACCTTCACACCTCCGTGTGTAACAAGTGGGCGAAAAGGCGGTGAAAACTAATTTGCGGTGAAAAAAAAAAAAAAAAAAACTTGGGAGAGAGTGGAAAAAAATTCGTCAAGGTAATAGTCAAATAAAAGAGCGAAATTGCCTTCATAACTTTTCCCTTTTTTCTTTGAATTTTACCTTTTATTTATGTACATATCTTTTGCGAGGGGCTGTGTAGCCTCCAGCTTGATGAAAATCTAAAGAAATTCCGGAGCAGAATAATTTGTAGGAATTATATGCACTCACGTAGTAAATCCACTTATCTTCTCAGTGTGTTTAAGCCGAAAAATTCTTGAATATATTCAAATATTCAAAATAATGTTATTTAATATGATGGCATCAATAGTAATATATTCGTGATATAGCAGGATGGAAAAGTTGAAAATTCTCTTAAAAATTGGGCTATTGATATTTATTATAAAATCTGATCCGGAACTTGATTTCTCCTCACTATTTCATTGCTCAAACAATAGCTCTATCCGCACTATTCGGTGTTTTTTCTTCGAACAACCTCTGAACAATGAGAATTCACCAAAGATGATGAAGAAAATCATGCGTGTCGTCAAACTCCCACGAAACCCACTCAGAATTAACCCCATGAATCAGCAGAGAATTGATTGCCCTCCAATGAAAGAGACAGTTGGCGCTTCAGGTTTGATCACTCCTGAAATTCAAGCTCGTGGTGGAAATAGAGGCTTGAGAGATAGTGCATAAAGAAGGGAGGGTGTCTGTACACTCGTGACGGCTGGTCTGTTGGGTATTAAAGTTGGGTAGACAAGGGAGTGTAGAAATAAGAGTCAAGATCGAGGGAGTTGTGAGCAAGCAAACAAGAAAGAAGAGGAGGACAACTAGTGTGGAAGGAAAGGCCATATCGATCCAATGTTGTCTCCATGACTCTTCCACTTGTTTCGGAAAAAAACTATATTAGTTGGTTCAAATTGATGAACATTATATGAAGAAAATATATTCACCTTCCGTCCACTCCTCAATAAAAATATCTGAGAATATATGCGGTCTAGCTGATGGGAATTATTTTTCTTGATTATATACCTCGGTATTTGGGAGAATTCAACAAGACGTGATAGAAAACCATTGGTACAATGACGACGACACATTTTGTCTGGCAGCTTAACCAAGTGAGAGGAAAATTAATTCCATTACCAATGAAAAAACCGTTGATCTATCAAGTATTAGATTGTTGACACGACTCATCCCCCTCCCCCCTACCGCGTGGGGGTGAGAAAAAAAAAGGTGGACGAGGGCGGGACAGCTGGCACAGACGTGGGTCGACCCCGGGAATTTCCCTCGGTACGAAAAATAGCCGAATCATTAATTTCTCATTCTTTTGCACATGATGAAAGTCATATTAGTTTCAATAAATTGATAACTTGATTGTTGTATTGTTTTGCAAGTGTTAAAAGATGTATGAAAAAATGTGGCGAAATAAATATTTACTCTGCTATGATATATGAAAGTATGAAAATATTAATATATTAATATTATCAAATCCATCAATGTGAACGTAGAAATGTTCATCTTTCATAAGGCAATGAAAATGGCAACATCCCTCCACCTACTCATCCAATCACCGATAATCCAATTTGAAGAGAGAAATATTTCATATAAATCCCCGGAGGAAATGGAAGATTATAGTGAAAGTTTGTAATTTCAAACGTGAAATTCCATACCATCTGGATGATACTCTCCGAAGCAATACCGACTTGCCCTGAAAGTTGAAAAGATAGGATGGACGATAGCATCCTCGAGGTAGAATGTTATAAAAAAAAGTGCGATATCAAACTTCATCATAATCAAATAAAACCAAGAAAAAATAAATAGTAAAAAATAGGTAAATAGTATATTACTATTACGTACTTGTTGCGTAATATACTATTTTTAACTATGTGAAATCAATAGGATGACATGGGTTTTAATGCTCAAAGGAAATTTCATATCAATAATTTCGTACGAAAAGCTTTGAGGACTCGCTTCATATTCGAAACCAACAAGTATAACAATGAAAATTACATTGAGTGAAATGAAATATCGACCAACGGATGAACAACTTGGGCTCTAATTGTAAAACTTTGTGTTTGAATGAAACGATTTGTG